CCGTGGGGGGGTAGGACCCACCCTTTCATTAGGCGCGGAAATACAATTAAAATCACCACAGACCATCCACGGTTCGACCAAGTGGTCTCCCACCGAGGTCAAGTGTTCCCACAATTCCTTCCTTTCAAGGACCGTGTACAACGGATAAACAAACGTCGTAATAAAAGATGTTTGCGTAATACGACAAGTACATCTAGCATGCAAATATTGCCTATCCTTTTCCAAAAACACGCAATTAATCAAATTAGGGTTCCACATTATAACTATGCGTCCCCCACCAATAAGGTCAAAATTATTTTCAAAAATCCAACCCGGCCATTTATTTAAAACGTAGTTATTAAACGAGGCCACGGTCATTTTAGTTTCTAAAAAACAAACTAAGGAAACATTATTCAATTTAATATAAGACGCAATTAAATTATGTTTAGGGGTTTTGTTTAAACCTCTAACATTCCAAACCAAGAGCTTGGGCATCAAGAAAGGTATGGATCCTCCGTGGTGGGACCTCCACCCTCGGCACCATTCTTTTTAGCACTCCTCCTCTTCCTTCTAAGAAGCTCTTTGTAGTAGTTGACATTGTTCCTACTACAAGGGTCAAAGAAAGAAAGCACATTAGGAATAAAAACAAGAGGGTCGAAATCATACCCTTCATGGCTACGTTTGACTCCCGGCATCTTCAAGATGTGGCTTTGAGTGAAGTAAATCCCCGGAGCCTCCTCACTAGCAACCAATTTGAGATCCGGCCCCACTTTGACTAGGGCTTCCCCATCCGGAAGTTCATCAATGTCAATGATGGTAGCAAGCGGCCTCCCCCTTTGGTCCATAAAAACCCCGGTGACTATGTTCTTAGGATCCATCTCATAAACACTTCTAACCACAAAGCCCTTCGGTAAATGCTCAAGTGACTCTTTGCCATCCACATCTTTTTTAAACACCATTTGGTTATGATGTTCCTTAGAGAATCGCACATTTGGCTTCGGTTTGACATCCAACGTAGGAGTGATAATCTCCTTGGGAATATTAATTCCAAAATTCGGGACTAGCGGTGAGGGAGAACTTTCGTTTGTATTGGAGGTTGAGCCAACTTCCAAATTTATGGGCTTCCTTGTACTCTTGTTCTTTTTTCGGATCACTTCTTGAAAGGGAGGTTCCTCATCCACTACGGCCACCCTTTTTCCTTTGTCCACCATCGGTGCTTTCTTCTTTTCTTGGTCCGCGGCCTTGGGAGGTTCCACTAAGTGGGGGTGAAGCACCTTACAATTGAAAGGGTGGTGACCATAGGCCTTGCATTTATAACAATAATCCAGATAGGTCTCGAAAATAACCTTTTGAGTATACTCCTTTCCCGAAGGGGGAACAATAGGGAAATCAAGCACCGGAGGCTTTGAGACATCAACCTCAACAAGAACTCGAGCATATTTCTTAAATGTCTTTTCTTGAGTAACTTTATCCGTAGTAATAGGAATCCCAACTTGGGAGGCAATCATCCCAATCTCCGTTGCATGCCAAAGCCTTAGGTGTAGGTTGGGAAAATTGACCCAAATTGGAACCTTTAAGAATTCCTCACTTTCAAATGAAAAATCGTCGGAAAGCACTTTCAAGAACATAGTTTTACCGTAAAGTGTATAGGGCCCCTCGGTTAGCACCTTTGCCCTATCCTCCTCGGTTTTGAATTTGAATACCACCCAACCCTTGCTATGTGGCTTCACATCAACTTGAACTCCCCATTTTTTAGTCATGTCAAAAATAGCTTTCAATCCCGGAAATCTACCGGAGAAGTGTCCCACCAAACAAAAACCCCATATTTCAATGAGGGTTGGTACCTTGAGATGGGAGAAATCCAATTTCTTTCCGGTAGGAGGAAAGTATTCAAGTTTGATGCCGTTTGAAGGAGCTCGGTTATCACGGAAAAAGGAAACATATTCTTCTTTGTAGTTCTCAACTTCCTTCACAGATTCCGTGTCTTGGGATCCAAGTGTAATGGAAACTTCAGTCTTCTTTCCATCATTGGGATGGGCAAGTGATAGCTCCCTTGAGACAACAACATTTATAGAAGTGGAGTCCAACTCCTGACCTGCCCCAGACATGCCTTCTGCCGCGGCCTTGGAGTTTTGTGCCGTGGCCTTATCGCCTAGCCCGCCCATGCCCACGGAAGCCGCAGAAAGAGAGGGTTGTGCCGCGGCCTTGGAGTGAGAAGCGTTGGACGAGACAACCGGAAAAGCCTGAGGTAAAACCTGCAATGAGCTGTGTTTCTTCTTCAGCGTCTCCTCCTCCATAGCTGCTTTTTTAGCCGCAAGAAGCTTAACCTTTTCATCAAACGCTCTATCCTTCATCGGGGGGGTTCTGGTCTGCTTATTCTTCCTTGTCATGGCTAAAGCATGACGAAGAAGATGATGAACAGTAACCTCTTCCAACCAAGGTGCTCAGAGAAATCCAGACTTGGAATAACGAGACTGCAGACAACAATACTTCGAAGTAACGTCTAGTTTGGAACTAGCGTTTTACTTGTCCAAAGAACTTGAAACTTGTACCCCTGGGTTCGCCTAGAGTAGGCGACCCCCAATCAAGTCTTCTTTTGCACAAACAATCGCTGGAGAATGGATCCAAGATCAAATTCGATTTCTGAAGGTGAACAGTAAAAACAGCGACCCAGACTTCGGTTTTTTGACCCAACCCCTTTAAAAATCACCAAGATCACAAATCCAACCTTGGATTAATGATCTATGATGAAATCCGAGCTAGGAGGATCAAGAAACAAGAAGTTTGATCAATGGAATCAAGAGCAATCGAAGAGAGGAGTTCAGCGAGATCAATAGAAAAATCCAACCGTTGGGATATGATTTTCCTAGAGAGAAGGCAGAGGTTTTCTCAACGCTGAACCTGTTTCCGTCTTGTTGTTGTTATTGTTGTTATAGATGATTGTTATTATGAGTATCCACTTTAGAATTTGAATTAAGATCTTGGGGAGTTGTGATTCTTACTGGGGTTGATATTTTATACGTATCATAAGTTTTTTGCTCTAAAAAATATTGTGCTTTCCTCTAAAAAAATATTGCAATCATCAATGCTTTGTTCGCATATAGTTTTAGCTTTGGATTTATTTTAATTTTATTCTAATTGTCCATTCACTTGTGATATTATGCTAATAAATTATATTTAAATAATTATGCATACTGTAATTTATACAAATTTCTATATTATTATTACTATTATTAATAATAATATTATTATATTAATTATTACAGAGTGTTGTTGTTAAGTTATTATTACTATTGTTATTAATATTGTTGTTGTTATTGTTTTTTATTATTATTATGAAAAAATCCATGAATATTATTTTTTAAAATGTGATGAACAAAAATATTACTTAGTGACTATAATTGTGTTCAGATTTAAATCTTAGTAGTTACATGTAAGTTACTACGGTGTAAAGTTTTAACATAATTATAGTCGATCACTAATAGTTACTCCATACTAAGTAATATTTTTGTCCATCATCATCATCATCATCATCATCATCATAGAGAGTCCTATTCGCATGTGCTTTATCGCATTGAAATTTCATTTGATAAGCATTGAAAAGTCAAAAACCTATTATTACATATTTGATAATAGACATATTACTCGAAATAGGACTAAAAAAGTTTGAAAATTCCAAAATAGGACTGCCATGTTTTAATTCCCAAAATAGGACTAATTACTATTGTGTTCTGGCAGTACCGGCCGGACTTCAAACATGACAGTATTTTCCAAACTTGGCAGTAATTACTCCTATTTTGGGAATAAAAAACATGACAGTTCTATTTTGAAATTTTCAAACTGTTTTAGTCCTATTTTGGGAAGTTTCCCTTGATAATATTGAAAATATTGGGATTTTCAATATTTTTCGTATGTATTTTGTAACATTTAAGTATTGATATTAATTATTTTTGTTAGTCAATAAGAGATTGACACCTCAACTTTACTATATAAAACAATAGTTTATTTTTAACTCAACTTTACTATATAAAACAATAGTTTATTTTTTGTATATGCAATATTGGTGTCATATGAAAGATCATAAAAAAACTATGAATTTTGATATATGTTTTGTAAAAGTTGGAGTACAAACACAAAAGTTATGTCACTTTTTTAAAAAAATAGTTTTTTTGCTCCAAATGAGAGTCCTTTTTGCAGCCGTTGTTATTCACGATTGATGGTAGTTGCCGTGAATCAATTAGAAGTCATTAATTGTTTTAACAATAGTCATAAAAAAGATTTAATTAACCAATTAGAGATTGACACATCATTGTTTTCTAACTCAAGTTTACTATATAGAACAATAGATACTTAGATACTACCATTTTCATAAGGCATATACTACGTATTATGATACGTCTAAACTATCATATCTTGCTAACATGAACAAATTAATTTGAGTACTAGAATTGAGTAGTTCAAACTTATCATTCACCGATGGCCTACAAATCATGTTTTTAAAATGCATTTCTGCTTATGAAGGTTTAATATTTTCTTTTGAAATTGATGGTTGTATTGTACAATTAATGTGTGAAGGAGATGAATCGTTTATGGTCCGATACGATCTGACCTACTCCCCGTTTGGTTTGAATGAAGTTGCATAAAGAAGGGGAAAGATCTTAACGTAGGGTAGATGATTGTGGTACTAACCACGTACTCGTCATGCTTTGTTTAGTCAATTGAAGGTCTCTATTATAAATTTAAAATTTGATACAGAGCCCTAAATTCATATGGTAGTGGATCTCACATTGAAAATACACTACAAGAAATTCGGATTTTTATGGCGAAAATTAGTGGCGGATTTGTGTCTGCCGATAATCCCTGACGGAAAGTAATGGCGGATTAGTATCTGTCGCAAATTACTGGTGGATTCATTCTGTCACAATTTCGTGGCGGACAATTGTGACGGGGCTTTTTCGCTACTAATTAAAGGCGGAATATTGTGGCAGAAGTAATCGCCACAAAACAGCACCGGACGAATCCGTCATTAAATTTCGTCAGTAAAGTACAAAATATTTAATTTCCCTCACCAACCAAAATTCATTGTACAACCAACTCATATCACAAAAAAATTAAAATTCCTTCTACTCTCTCGACGACTTATCTTCTTCATCATGTTCAAATGAGTTTAAGGTATGAAATTTCTTATATCTCAATAAATATTTAATTTATTTGTTTTTAATCTTGTGATTTGTACTTATAATACTTAGTTTTACATATATATATATACTTTGGGTAGTTTCGTTTATTTTTATGTTTAAAAATATTTGAAGATCGATGGAGATGCATGATAAAATGAAGTTCCGATCTATGATGTATATCAAATTTATGATGTGTTATGTGTATACATTTGTTAACTACGTTTGTTAAAAAAATGTTAATTACGTTGCTTGTTTTCAAAAATTTGTAGACGTATGTACTTAATTACTTAATTATTAGTTCAAATAATTTAAGAACAAATGCTATTAATTATACATTAATTATTAGGTTAGTTGAAAGATAAAATAATTGAAGTTGTTGGTTTATTATTATTAGTATTAATTATTAACAATGTTGCTTGTTTTTGAAATTAAAATTGTAGACTACTTAGTTTAAATAATTCAAGAACTCTAATATTTTTAAATATAATGCTATTAAATATATGTATTATCTTTATATTAGTTGAAAGATAAATAATTGAAATTGTTGATTTATTATTAAAATGTTGTTTATAAAAAGTAACCAAGAATTAGGGGAAGGAAATTCTCAATATTAATTTAATTTACTATATATGTGAGCTAATGAAATAATATGTAATATTGTATGGTATGTTTAGGTCTAAAAATGAGCATTAATAGATCATGGATGTATAAAAGGCTTGCCGATCGAGGATTGCTAAATGAAGATTTTAAGGAAGGGGTTAATGAGTTTCTTCAAACGGCACTGAACTTATATCCAAGTGGTGTCATTGCATGTCCTTGTAGAAAGTGCAAGAACAAGAAATCCTTGACTTGGGATATTGTTAGGGAACATCTTTTTGAAAAGGGGTTTATAGAAAATTATTATGTATGGGGGGCACATGGAGAGACATCTAATTCCAACGGATTAGTTTATTTAGATGGAGCTAGCTCTTCTCGAGATAATACATCTGAACTTCCATATGACCCGTACAAGGCGATGTTTGAAGATGCGGTTAGGAATGAATTCCCACCATCTACTCAAGATGGTATGCATACGAACGACGATCCTACTCCAATGGCAGAAAGCATTCATGAAATGCTAGAAATGACAAGTCAACCGTGTTTTGATGGTTGTCCGATGACGGAGTTGAGTGCAATGACTGAAATACTGAACTTAAAGACTGAGATGGATTTATCAGAGGCTGCAACAGACAGAATTATCCAGCTTGTGAATAGGTTTTTCCCAACACATATCCCAAACAGGCCCATTCAGAATTTCAAGAAAATAAAGAGGAAACTCTCGCTATTGGGAATGAAACATCAATCTATTGATTGTTGTCCAAATGGTTGCATGATCTATTGGAAAGCAGACAATGAGCTAATGGAGTGCAAATTTTGCTCCAGTGCGAGGTACATGATTAACAACCAGTCCAATACATCTATTCCGCTTTCAAGGATGGAGTACTTCCCGATTACTCCTAGGCTGCAGAGGCTTTATGCTTCGGAAACCACTGCTGAGAAAATGAGATGGCATAAAGATCACCATACAGAACAAGGGGTGATGCGTCATCCCTCAGATGCAAAGGCATGGTCTCATTTTGATAATCTTTATCCATATTTTGCCCAGGATCCAAGAAATGTTAGACTTGGTCTATGCACGGACGGGTTTCAACCATTCGGACAATTTGGACAGAAGTACTCATGTTGGCCTATAATCGTGACACCATACAACTTGCCTCCCGGTACATGTATGAAAAGGCAATTCTTATTTTTATCTGTATTGGTTCCGGGTCCAAAGAACCCCGCAAAGAGGATAGATGTTTATTTGCAACCATTGATAGAAGAGTTGAAGGAACTATGGGAGGTTGGGGCTATAACGTATGATGCACTTTCAAAGGAATACTTTAACATGCGAGCCATCTTGCTTTGGACAGTGAGTGATTTCCCTGCATATGCTATGCTTTCTGGATGGAGTACAAAGGGAAAATTTGCATGTCCATATTGTACTGAGTTTACTGAAGCATTTTGGCTCCGCCACAGTCGGAAGCACAGTTGGTTTGATAGCCACCGAAAGTTCCTAGCAGGTGATCATCCATTTCGATTAGACACCCAAAACTTTACTAAGGGTAAAGCAATCATGTATGGCCCTCCATTGCAAAGAGATGGTTCGTATTGCTATGGTGAGATGGATGCATTGATGTTGGTGACTGAATTAGGCGGCATAGAACATAATAAAGTGGCTGGAAAGGATATCGGATGGAAGAAACGTAGTATCTTTTGGGATCTTCCATATTGGAAGGATTTGCTTTTACGTCACAATCTTGACGTAATGCACATAGAGAAGAATTTCTTCGAAAACATATTTTACACCATTATGGGAGTACCGGGAAAGTCAAAGGATCATACCCGTGGGAGAATGGATATGGAACATACTTGCCACAGGCCAAGTATGGCGCGGGACCGTCAAGGGAAATATCCAAAGGCTCCTTTCATCCTTTCGATTAAGCAAAAGGAAGCTTTGTGTGACTGGGTTGATTCATTGAAGTTCCCCGATGGTTATGCATCTCGACTGGGACGTTGTGTAGAAATGGAGCATCTTAAGTTATTTGGTATGAAGAGTCATGATTGCCACATCTTTATGCAACGTTTACTCCCGGTTGCCTTCAGAGAGATGCTACCTACAGGGATTTGGGAGGCAATTACCGAGATTAGCTTGTTCTTTCGTGACCTAACGAGAAAGACTGTTAGGGTCACTGACATTGAGAAACTAAAGCTAGACATCCCTGTTATTTTATGCAAATTAGAGAAGATTTTCCCGCCCTCATTCTTTGACCCCACAGAGCATCTTCCCATACATTTACCAGATGAAGTTCTGTTAGGCGGACCACCTGATTATCGATGGATGTATCCTTTTGAAAAGTGAGTGCTTACTAAAGTACTGTATTATAATTGTTATCTCATGTCTTAAATGTTAGTTGATATATTAATTGTTACTCTTCATGTAGCTTCTTAGGATCAGTGTTAAAGACAAAGATCGGTAACAAAGCTAGGGTTGAAGCCTCGATCAGAGAAGGTTATTTGCTTAGTGAGATGGGTACATTTGCGAGTTACTACTTCCCGGAAGAAGTAACCACAAAAGCACGTCGTGTGCCGAGATTTGATGATGGGTTCATGATTAATGATGATGCTACCATTTCCATTTTTGCACAGAAGGCAAAATTAATTGGCGCGGGCACACGCCGATACATGGACCAAGATGAATCCAATGCAGTGCACTCATACGTGTTACGAAACTGCCCAGAGATTGACCCATTCAGAGAGTAAGCCCCAATAGTGTAATTAGTAATTTCATACATTATAACTAATTATAGTCTAATGTTATACCAATATACTGCAGAATGTTCAGCAATGCAACTGGAATAATAGCTTCTGATGAGGTTCAATTTCAAGCACAATTCCCAATTTGGTTTTATCACCATGTGAGAATTTAAATTATTTATTTGTTTGATTGAAAATATTGTTTTGTGTGGACAAATATTGACTATGCATAGTTATGTGTAGGTGCAAACTAATAATGTGAGTCATCCACGATGGATTCGGGCTTTATCCAGATTTCCTTCTCCGTATGTGACGACCTACCAGACACTTCATATTAATGGTTACAAATTTAACACTGTAGCACGGTCTGAAGAGAGAGTGACTTGTAATTGTGGGGTTATGGTCAAGTGCACAAGTCATGATGGTTTGAGACTCGATTACTATGGTTTAATACATGAAATAATTCAGTTGGACTATCAAGATTACAAGGTAATCGTACTCAAATGTGAATGGTTTGAGCCTTCTGACAGAGGTACACGAGTCCATCCACTATATGATATAGTTGATGTGAACATACAATATCGGCTCCAGACTTCAGATTGCTATATTTTAGCATCACAAGCTGATCAAGTTGTGTACGTCTCATATCCAACTGCAAAGACAAGGACCAACAAGTGGCTTTCTGTTATTCATTGTTTGCCACGAGCTTTTGTGGAGAAAGTCTTGGCGGGGAGTTCAACTCACGTAGATGAACAACCGTTAGCATTCCAACAAAATGAACCCGGCAATTCATTTGAAACAGGCTTCGATATTACAATACATCAGCACATGGATGACCTTCTACTATGCCAGAGAAAAACTTTGTTATCAATACGACTGCATTTAAAGGACTGGGGGCTGGTGTGCAGAACAACAAACTAAGAACTACGGCCAGAGAGGTATCTGGCAGTTTGGGTGGTGCATTTAAAGGCCTTGGGAGTGCCGGTCAGAAAACTAAACCAATCACTTTGGCGAAAGAGGTGTCAAGTAGTTCAGGCCACTCAACACCGTCTCCACCCATTTCTTTCGATGGTAATGCAATGGGCAGAAACACCGACATCCATATGGGACAAACAACACAGCTTTATCAACCACCTCCTTCACAATACAATGTAGCTCGTCGTACCAGACCAAGTCTTGCTCCAACTGGTAACCAACAGCCAAACGCTTCTGATTTCCTAAACCACCGAAATGACACGCCAACTTGCCTCAATCAGCAAAACTCGCCAAACACGATTGACGATCTAACAGAAGGCTATGACCAATCACATGCTAAAGATGCAGAACAAGAGCTTATTGAGTGGAAACCCGATCCATACAATCATCTCATGTGGGGTGTAGAACCGTTGGACCATTTTAGAACCATTTCGGTGTCCAGATTTGAAAGACCATGTGTTGGTATAAATGCTGCAGGAGAGTGAGTTCATTATTAATTTTTTTTGTTTTATACTACACATAATTTTACTTATTATTATCGTATATTTATAATAACATATTTTTAAAACACATTATTGCAGCCTTATTAATGAACCAGTGGGCGACACATGTTTGACGTTTCAAGGCATTGTTTCTAAGCAGATCAAATATAATCTGCATCCGGCCGGTCAACGATGGAAGTGGGTCCCAGAGAAAACAAAACAGCTCTATTGGGAACAATTTCAGGTTTATTTATTTTATCTAAAAATATGAACTGCAATGTCAGATAGTTTATATCTTATTCAACTAACTTAAAGGAGTCACATTTAATTTGTAACTCCTTCAACTAAATCCATTTGTGTAAACTAAACAATTTTATAAAACAAATCTACTTTTTTTTAAAAAAATTTATGATTAAACAGTGTATAGAAATATATTAGAACAGTTTATATAAGTCTTGAGACTTTAACATTCTTCCTCTTTGCATATAGGATTTAGTTAATTGGGATATTACCAAGTATGATGCTAAAGACATTAAGGCAGGTTATGAACAATATTTGCGACAACATGCTTATTCCAATGTACTGAATTATATAAGGTAAACAGAATAAATGGTATTTAGCTTTCAACTTATCTATATTGAATTAAGAAAATAATGCAAAGTCATTGATAAAACTAGAACGAAAAAACAGCCTCCAACTGTGAACGATTTCACGTGGGCTGTTCTTGAGGAGTATAAAAGGTCAAAGCAGTATAGGAGGTCGTCTGAGTCGGGTAAGAAGAATCGTATGATCGGTGGAGATAGGTGCAAGCAGTACGGCGGATCACGAGCAGCGACTGATATGGCAGCACGAGAGGTCAATTTAATAATTTAAAAATATTAGATTTTTAAGGAAAAATATATATAGTTACATCACTGATTGAAACATATGAAATTTGTTTTAGTTGAGAGTCACAGGTGTGGCCATAAATCCTCTCAAGCTTAGTGACACGTACCACCCAACAAAGAGGAAGAATGGGGAGATCATTCACCCGCAATCGGAAGTTCAGGTAAAAAATATAGTTCCACTTTATGACAGTTTAGTTTGGGAGATTGCATGTGTATTAAGTGTTTGCATAATAATGTATTTATTTGATTTGACAAGGGCAAGTTGTTTTACATTCAAATATGAGAGATTGCATGTTTGTAGTTCATTAGGAAAGCTTGTTATACTGCATTTTTTTGGGCAGATTATTGTTGTTTTAGTTAGATCAAATGGTGTTGTTTGGCATGTGTACAAATGATGAAATATTGGAATTTGTATATATTCATAAGATCACATTTTCCGCCCGAGCAAGTTTTATTAGCATGTGTATGGTATGTTTTCCTGAGCATGAGTATGTTTTAAAACTTAGCACTCTTAATTATAAATGTCATAAGAAAAACAAACTTGCATGAGTTAGCGATATTTGCCTAGGAAGTAGGCAGAATAATGTTCAAACCTATCCGCACCAAGTATCAACTTAGTACTCAATTCATTGAAATCTTTCAATCCAGTAATAGGCAAATACTCCTTAATCCGAAATCTGCAAAATTTCCAATACTTCATCATTCCCAATTGTGGGTACAATAAACATGATGTGTATTAGTTAACTATGATCTGCTCTGCCTTCCTTACTACATTCAGAAAAAGAGGTTTTCCTTCCTGCGATACCATAAGATAAAGCACAAATTTCTGCTACAAATCGTAGGGGTGCGGAGAGAATCCCGATCCCATACACATGATGCTCTATTTTCTGCTAATTGAAGCGTGCTTTATTTTGAAGTCCAGCAAGTTTTGTTTCTATAAACTGTGTGCCTTTTTCTTCTGTTAATTCAAACATGTTTGTTCTATTATGCTATAACTTTCAAGATGAGCAGTTTTTTTGTCTATGAAATATTAAGTTCTGTCAATTTGTTTTGTTCATGTTATATTTCTGCCTCAACAAAATGTATTATTTGTGATACGTAGGAGGCTGTTTCGAAGTTGTCGGCTGCATTTCGAGAGCATATTCAAAATTCTCAATCATCTAACAATGGAACCGAGATCTCTAATGCATCTAAAATTACCTCAAGTGAGTGGAATTCCAAATACTTAGAAGCAGTTGGATGCAAAAGGAAGAGAGTGTTTGGAACGGGAAGATACTCAAAAGCTTTCCTTCTTGAGCTTGAAACAAGTGGCAAAGGGCGTTCATCATCTTCACGGCGCTCACATGATATTTGTCTTGCATGGGATGAATGGTTGAGGACATGGTTTGGATCACAAGGTGAAAAGTGCCCACTCCCAATGCCACCCTTTGATGCTAGATTGCAACTTGAAGATCCTGATTTACATTTAAAGATTTTTGAGAAAACTTGGGTTTCATTTTTCAAGGAACACGGAATGGATCCACCAACCTTTTTCCCGTCATCTCATTGTTCGTCCCAAGACTCCCAAGACTCCCAAGACTCCCAAGACACCCAAGACTCGGAAGACTCGGAATCTCCAAGTCATTAGTTATGTATTTTTAAATTATGCATGAACTGAATTCTCTTAATGAGGTGTTTTGCTATGTATTTTTAAATTATGTATGAACTTAACTTTCTCTTAATGAGGTGTTTTGCTATGTATTTTGATTATGTATGAACTTAATTATGGTGGTTTGGCTACTAATTAACGTTGTATACATAGTTGACAATATATAATAGTGATAACAATCGTATTATTTTTAGATTATTAGAATTCACTGAATATTTTTAGTGTCTTTTATTGCCAAAGAGGTCAAGATATTGAAAAAAATGTTATAATTTCAGTGAAGGAATTTAATGGCGGAAAACTTGTCATTAAATTTAGTGGCGGACAATTCTGCCACTATATTCCGTGTTTATTTTGCGGCGGAACTCTATTTCCGCCAATAAGGTCTTTAATGTCAAGATTTCAGTGGCGACATTTTCGCCGCAAATATCCGTCACTACGCTCATTTGTGGCGAAATTCGTGGCGGAATTTCCGCCACTAAAATCCGAAATTCTTGTAGTGATAGAACTATAGAAGGGCTTTTAATCTGTTATTACTGGCAAAAACTAAAAAGGAGAAGTTAGTTTTATGAAAATATTGCGGTAGCTAGAACTACTTCTAACGGAATATGATGTTTTCTTTTGGACAGTTTTCAGTCCCAGACCAGATCAGATCAGACCAAACTTTCATAGTTATAAAATACACATAGACCAGATGTTTAGCAGACCAGACCAGTTCAAACCAGACCAGCACATTTCAGTCCAAAAAAAACATCCTAAATGTGCAAATAATACCATAACTAGTACTATATATTACTCCTTTCGTCTTAACTAAAGGTTTTCGATCGATTGTCTCTTTTGGATATTTCATTTTTGTTTTAGGAAATAATTAGCATTTCTAAATGACGCTTAATCATAAAATATTAAAGATCGATAATATAATTATCAACACAGTTATATCAAGTATCTTATTATATTATATACTCTTTTGAACTACTTCTCGAAATATACTCAAATTACCTTAGCTCATTTAATTGTTGTCCAAAAAAATGTGTCATTTTTTAATTGAAATCCTAAACGGGGACAGTAGTTGTTGTATTTATGTACTATGTACCTCAACTATTGAATAACGCAAATTGGTACCTTAAATACAAATTTGTGTAGGTGTTTGGGCTCAATTTTTTCTTAAATGAATACAAGTTCTAAAATTAAGATCTCATAATTGTATAGCGCAAATTGATGCTATAAATATGAGACATTTAACTTTATTTATCTGCAGAAAGTGTATGTTTAAGCAATTTTTTGTAACCTAATAAAACTAATTAAAAGAAATATATGTATTGAATGAAATCCGTGCAAGAAAAGGGTTTCAGGAAAATAAATGTTCTCTAGTTGCGGTATTAAATTGCACTTGTGCTAAAATAAAAGGTTGTTGTTGATAGAGTTTGAACCCGGCCCTAATTCCGTAAATAATTCTTTTTTAGACATTAATTATGAAAAAAAAACTCCATCAACAACATCTTTTATTTTTTCAATCACTTTATTAATAGTCGTGCCAAGTCAAAGTGAGACACATAAAATGGGACGGAGGTAGTAATATTTTTATATATTCAATGTTAGTAGAAGGTTTAAGTTCAAAATTTCTCTCAAGTGGAATCAAGTTCTAAAATTAATATCTGGTTATATAGTGCAATTTCATGCCGCGGCCAGAGGACATTTTATTTTTTCCCGGAAACCTTTTATTTTAGTGCAAGTGCAATTGCATACCGCAACTAGAGGACATTTATTTGAGAAATTGAAGAAAACCTAACTAGTTGGAGCAGATTCTCTTGAACTCAATGAAACCTTAGATATTTTTAGATTGAAGGAGACTGTGTTACTGGTTATTCGTTGGATTTGAATCCCCATTGAGAGGTACAAGAAAGTCACGAAGCTTGGTGAACTAAGATGAAGAAACTAGCAACCAAAACAAATTGAGATATTACCCAAAATGGGACTAAAAAGTTTGAAAATTCCAAAATAAGACTTCCATGTTTTTATTCCCAAAATAGGACTAATTACTGCCATGTTTTGGCAGTACCAGACTTCAAACATGGCAGTATTTTCCAAATTTGGCAGTAATTAGTCCTATTTTGGGAATAAAAACATGACAGTCCTATTTTGGAATTTTCGAACTTTTTTAGTCCCATTTCGGGAACTTTCCCAAATTGAGATATTACGAACGAGATGAAGAATTCAACCACAAAAAGGATAGAAACCTGTCAAATGCCTAGCAGCCACCGATGATGAGCCTGTGATTTTTTGGGGAGGAGTTCGAGAATCTGTTGTGGCCATTCAAATTAAATCGGAAGAGGATGGACTGGTTTTTATTAACCAAAACTGCACCGTTTGGGATCGGCACGCTATGCGCAAGGTGGGCCGATCCCACGATATAATTTGCCCTCCATAAATGTTGTATAATCCAGAAATTTGATTTTCGATATACCCATGTTAAATTAAAATATATTTTTTATTATCGTTATGTTTCTATTACAAATTAAAATATGATTTTTATTTTTATGTTTCTATTGCAAATTAAAATATGATTTTCGAATGAAGTTATGTCCCCCCCCCCCCCCCCCAAATGAAGTTATGTTAAGGGGTGGTAGTAATATTTAATACGGAGTATGTTATTATGATAAGGAAAAATCACACTTTTAGTCCCTGAAATAGTCACGAAAATGAAATGTCGGACCCGTATTCCCAAGTTTGTAAATGTCGTCCCTCAATTGTCCTAAATGCCGTAAATATGGTCCTTTGAGGGGTGAAATATACAATGTGGGCGAGAGTACATTTCACTCTTAAAGAACCACATTTACAACAATTTGGACAATTGAGGGGTGACAATTACCATATCAGAAATACGGGTCTGACATTTCATATTTGTGACTATTTCAGGGATCAAAAGTGCGATTTTCCCTTATGATAATAAATAACATAAGGGGCGATTCCCCAAATTGAGAATGGCTATCAATTATCATGTTTTTACTTGGATTTTTTCCAGTCCCAGACCATATCAACTCATACCAGACTTAAACAGACATAGACCGAAATATTTATCAGATCAGACTAAATCAATTCAGACAAGACCAGACCAGATCAGACCAAAAAATTACAATCCAAGTAAAAACATCCTTAGTAACTCATTTTCACTTATCTCCATTAGGAAATTTCGATTGAGCCTATACAAGCAGTAGTGAGAAGGATTTACAAAACTAAATTAACTTATTATGGAGCTCATAATTGATAAGTTCACTATATTTTGATGAGGAGTATGTTTTGAAAAAACTATGCTTTACTTTAGTCAAATACTCTCTGTCCCAAATTATAAGGCACTTTACATTTTACAATGTTTGACCGACGATAAAGCAAATTGATCCCTGTCAACACTCAAATTAGTTTTAGAAAATAAAATTTACATATTCAAAAACTACATTGAAATCGCTACAAAGCCTGCAAAAAAAATCAAATTTCATAAAAATTTGATATATAAAGTAAGAGATTAGGAGTGATTTGTATTGACCTAGTGAATAGGAAAAGTATTTATAAAATGGGACCGAGGGAGTATGGATGTTCTTACTTGGACTGTAATTTGTCCCAGACCAGACCAGACCAGTTCAGACTAGACCAGACCAGACCAGACTTGGATAGTTATAAAATACAAAGAAATCATACCTTACCAGACCCGACCAGACCAGATCAAACCAGACCAGACCAACAAATTACAGTCCAAGTAAAAACATCCTATGTGATAAATAAAAAGTTGCAATAGAGTTCGGAAGAGAGTACAATTCAAATTCCTAAACAGGTTTACCTTGTTTTAGGGTTTTAAAGAACAAAATGGATATAATTTGTCATGTAGTACACAATCATATATACCTGTTCACATACTCGTACTTGTTTGCATGTGTGTGTCTATATAGTATATGTACACACACAGAACACACATAGCAGTTTCGTTTTTAATACTAGTATATTATATTAATATATTATTATGTATACTTCGTATATATATATATATATATATTCTAAATATAATTTGAAGGGTACTCCTATGTGACTATGTCGTTAAATTTGCAGTCGATAGACCAAAGTACATCATTGCATTATTGGATAGATACAGGTAATATGCCGTTATTTTTTTACAAATGCCGTTTCTTTCTTAGAGATAAGAAAATACAAATAAAAAGTAACAAAATACACAAATAAGATAATGTCGTTATAAACTTATACGGAGTATGTGTGTACAAAGTGCATATATGGTGCATGCATTTCGGTGCAAGTCACAATTGTGCTAGTGCAACTAGGCGCCACGTGAGAATTTTCAAAGGGATTTATAAAAATGTCAGCGCTACCACAATATGATGGTGTAGTGCACATCAAAGAGCTGGTAAAACAATATTAAATTTAAATTAGATGCATTTTTCACTTGAATCAAATATATATAAGGTGACGTAAATTCAATAAAAAGTGATGTTCCGTGTAAAGTAGTACACAAAACATTTACATGCACTGATTTGATGAATGCTTATTACTGTTTCAATATTATTATATACGTACTCTCTCAATCCAAGAGAACGTGTCCATGCTAAATTTCTTATTCAATAGTTAAGTTTGACTCATTATATTTTTTAATACGAAACTATTTAAAATATGAAACTTACGCGGAAAAGTTCACTTGTTAAAATTAGGATGTTTTCTTTTAGACTGAAATTTGCTGGTCTGGTCTGAACTGGTCTGGTCTGGTAAATGTCTGGTCTCTGTGTACTTTATAACTACGGAAGTCTGGTCTGATCTGATCTGGTCAGATCTGGGACTGAAAACAGTCCAAAAAAAACATCCTTACTTTCATAAAAGTATAAAATTTATAAATTTCACACAAATATAATAATCACAATCTATCAATATATGATTATGTATAATTATATGATGCCGATCTTGGAATTTAATCTTACATGAAATTCTCAAACATTTTTACTCCTATTTAGAGGATTGTTCCCTTTTATCTATAAATGTGCACCTTCCTGAATCATAATTTGGATCGTTTTGGAGCCACATAGTGCATCAAATTCGAATAAAAGTGTTTGTTCTTACTATACGTTCTCACGATAAGCATGATTCCCGTATTAAAAGCGCATCTTATATGTA